TCCTGGGGCAGTCTGTATGGTTTTATGAGAAGCAATCCCATTGCAGGCACATCCCATTGTCCTGGCACAGCCAAACCCTAACCTTGCCATAAGGGCAATCAAATGGTGGCAGCTCATCAGGGTTAGCCCTTAACAGGCTGCCACTGCTATTTACCTGCAGGTATTGGTGATTGCAGCTCCTGTTGGCCATAGATCGCCGTTCTCGGCTAATGGGAACTGCAGGAAGCAGCACGGATTGGAACACCGCTTCCCGCAGCTCCCGTTGGCCAGGAGCAGCAATCCACAGCCAACAGGAGCTGCAATTGCCAGTACCTGTGGAGGTGCAAGTGAATATAGCAATGGTGGTCCACCAAGGGCTAACCCTGGCACACCGGATCTGGCCCAAGGGCTAGTATTTGCCCACCCCTGCTTTAAGTTATGACAAGAGGAAGCTGTATACCCAATTTTGTGGTCCTAGCTCTTACTGTTGAGAAGGAGTTCTTGAACCAACAGGCAAATGCACAGAAGGACAGACAGACAGACAGACAGACGAACTCACTCAGATATATAGTAGTTTGATTTTAACCTGTCTAAAGTAGAGCTCATTAGAAAATTTAGAATTAAAAAAAAAATTTTCAGCCAAAAAAGGAACCAGTATTTTCCCAAAACTCTGTAATCTCAAATGCTTTCCTGCATAGGATTTGCTTCCCTGCATTTTGCCTGCAGACTGACCATATACAAATCAGGATCACTGCACCATGATGCTTTAAGGTAAAATTGTCTCTCTTCCTTTACTTCTCCCTTTGACAGCCTGCATGGAGACATGCTCCACCTGCACCATTGGCTTTGAGTGTACCTCCTGTAAGGACTCCCTGCTGATGAAATACGGGCAGTGTGTGTCATCGTGTGGGGATGGATTCTTCCAGGATCACCTCCGCTGTGCAGGTAACTTACAAATAGGGCTGCCTGGTTTAAAAAAAAAAAAAAAAAAAAAAAAAGAGAGAGAGAGAGAAACTGAGACATGTCTAAACGTAGTCTGCATTTAGAGATGCATTGCCAACACGAGGGTAAATATTTTCCATGCCCTAACGCTACAGAAAACCAGAATCACGTAGGATTAAGATGATGGCAAATGGGAGAAGAATTCCCTCTTTTTAAACTCTAGGTCAATTCTGTTCTCCAAGAACCATCAGCTTCTTCAATCCCCACTTCTCAACACTGTTGTTTAAATCAGTCTTGTTCTGATGCAGAAGTCTCTCCCTTGGAAATGTTATTGTCTCTTACTCCTGGGGGAGGAGGGATGGAAACGGCTCTATTTTACCATTGACCTAAATCTATTGCCATTTACTGGAATCCAATTCTTTGGTGTATACTTCGTGTTCAGCCCAGGCTAAAACTACAGCTAATGAAATCAGCTCTCCCCAGGAGGCTACGGTGGAAGGAGTGTTTATTAGAGCAAATTAGAGAGGGATATGGGGTATGGCAGGTAGCCAGAGAGAGTCACACATAAAAGTCCTTTTCCTTTTGGTGATGTTTTCTTGCTTTTCACACTTCTTGTTTCCAGAATATCTCTTGTGCCCGCTGTTCTCATCACAAATACTTAGGGATGTCTTACCCTGTTAATCATGAATTCCTCGAAACAGGGGAAAGTGTCTCCAAATAAGTGTCCCCCTGTTTGTTTCTAGTGGCTGGGATTAGGATAGGGAAGTTGGAGATTTCTGTTAGATTCAGCTCATTCCTTTGAAACATTCTTACTTTGTCCAAATGGAGATTCCGCCTCTTTTATCCTGACAGATCGCTGAAGTTAGCAGTTTTCTCCTTATAATAAGGGCCTTTCTAAAGGGTTCAATTCTTTCTGAGACAAGTTAAGCAAAGCGCTTGAGCACTTGTTGACTTCAGGCATTAGAACAGTCTTTATGACTCCTGTAGAAATACTCATTTGCAGAACGTGTAGCACCTGCTATAGTGCTTTTGCTGAATTGAGGTCTAAAACAGGAGTTCGATTCTTGACCATTGCTTTTCTATAGCCGTCTATCCCAAAGGGATTATGTTAGATTAGATTTTGAATGCTTGTGTCTAAATGTTCTTAAATTCCAGTGATGGAACTGAATTAACATCTAGGTGTCTCAGTTAAAAATTTGGGCCCCATTATGCTAGGTGCTGTACACACACACACAATGAAAAAGCAGTCCCAGCCTAAAAGAATTTGCAGTTAAAATAAAACAAACTATAAGATTACTTCATATTTGCTCATCTGCTTTCTGCCTGCTCCTGGTGTTTTAATTGGCAATGCCAGTGCATCGCACAGGCTGTAGGAAAAGGCTAATGTTTCATTTTATTGCCAGTTTGTAGTGAACTGGCTTTTCATTCTATCCATGTTCATACCCATCCATGCCTAGAGTAGAAAGTTGGTGGGAAAATTTGTTCATGTTTCCTCAGGGGAATTAAACCAATTTGCTTTAGTTCTGCCCGGCTGCATTTTCTGCATAAAATAAAACAGGCAGAGAGAGCCTCAAATTTCAGAGCCCGTCCATAATTAATTTCCAACCATCTTTTCTTTGTGTGCTCTTTGTTTTTACATGGATGCAGTCAGGTTGTCCAAATTTTCTTTATGCTGTTCAGGAAGCAGTATGTTTTCTTAAAGCTTGCAGTGAGTTTGTCAATGGAATTATATTATAGGATTGACCAGATCCTCAATTGGAGCAGAGGATCTGGCCCTGGAAATGGAAAAGGCCCATGAGATTGGATTACCTGGTCCATCCTCCTGCCTTTGCAGGACTGGTCTCTGCAGTGTATGAACAAGCCACAAAGAATCAGTCTTGCTTCATTCCTATTGTTTTATTTTTAAGAGGATCTAATCTAAAACTAAAAAGAACATCTGACTGAATTGGTTGGATGTGATGGGTTTTCCCCCCTGCTCCAATAATGGGGTTTGTTTTTCTATAGAACAATAAAGCCATTAAGGAAGAAGGGAAATTGAAAATCAGTAAGGAAGCTTGTTCAGATAACTAACTGTGCGATTAATATTCACGGGCTTAGTGTGAGACACACGTAGAGCAGAGTGACACATGGCGTCTGCTGTGATGAGATGAGACAAAAATGAATAAGAAAAAGGCTGAAAGAAGAAAAGTCAAGAGAGTGAAAAAGGAATGACCCTTGCCCTGGAAAGCAAGACCGATGAAGAGTTGCAGACTTCAATGTGCCCATTCTTTCTTTTCCCTGCAACTTAATTATTCACATTTCAGGGAGCATTAATCCTGAAAAAGTCTAGACAGAACTCAGGCGTTGCTGCTTTGACCTGCGCAAATGAGAATATTGAAATATGTAACCTGTTGTAACAGACAAAGCCTGCATCTTACTGAAGTGCTTGGATTTTTATTAATGATTCTTTATTTTATGGTTCTTTAGACTGTCTTAGTTATAGAAACTCATTTCTTGAGAACAGTGGTCTCATTATTGCTAAATAGAATTATTACAGGTAGCTAACACACACTTGCAATGAACTATTCTATTTCTGAGTCACTTAGATATACAGTACAGAATTGTAGAAAACATCTTGTGTCTTTCAAAAGTCAGGCAACTCTTTCTCAAATAATTCAGTGTGTTCCTTTTGCGATACCATTAACATTAATCTTTTGCAGTCCCAAAGCAGCTTGTGATCTTCACACCTGCAGTGATGCAGATGAGATTTCTGAGACATCTTTTTAGAAGAGAAACTTTAAATGAATTTTTATTCTGAATTGTGACCAACCAAAAGGGAGTTAAATGGCTGAGTGCAGAAAAGTCCCATGCTTTAATGAAGTGTGTCTGTTATGCCACATTTACTAGTGGCTGTGGATAGACTGATACTCATTTTGAATGCAGCAGAGCACAGACAGTTTTATAAATGCACAGGTTTCTTTTCATCAAGGAAGTCGGCACTTTGCAAGAGTTCTTTTCTATTAAAAAGATTGAACGTGGCTCAGCTGCTGTTCTACACCAGTTTCAAGCTACTGGAACTCATAAAGCTAGAGTAACATAGAGATGAATCAGACCCTTTAACTTGGCATCATTGGCAAACTGCTAGTTTTGCACTGGTGTGAAACCAAAATTTGAACAAGACCCAGCCCTCCATGAATAATTAAGTGAACATGGGGAGGGGGCCTTATTTCCCCTCTTGAAATATAAAAAATAAAACTGAGAATACTAGACTGTGAGAACGTTCCTTGAAGCTTATAATATAATCCTGAAAAATCAATAGGGAAAAGATTTTCGCTGCCTGTGTTGACCTCTGTTTACCCCAATAGAGATAAATCTGTTATCTGTATCTGTAATATTTTTGAAATCATGGAGCTGGAAGAGAACTCAGGAGGTCATCAAGTCTAGCCTCCTGCCCAACGCAAGAATAACCCCAACTAAATCAACCCAGCCAGGGCTTTGTCAAGCCGAGACTTAAACATCTCTAGGGATAGAGATTCCACCACCTCCCTAGATAACCCATTCCAGTGCTTCACCACCTCCTAGTGAAATAGTTTTTCCTAATATTCGACCTAGACCTCTCCCACTGTAACTTGAGACCATTGCTCCTTGCTCTGCCATCCGTCACAGCTGTGAACAACCTTTCTCCATCCCTTTTGAAACCTCCCTTCAGAAAGTTGAAGGCTGAGATCAAGTCTCCCCTCCTTCTTCTCTTCTGCAGGCTAAACAAACCCAAATCCCTCAGTCTTTCCTCATAGGTCATACGCTCCAGCCCCCTAATCAGAGAGTCTGTCCATCTGTCCGTTGAAAAACTTCTAAATGTTAAGAGCTAGGATCATCAAATGTGGTAGGCAGCCTCCTCTAATCATACCTTAAAGCATAGTAAAGGGTTGTTTGTGCCAGGAAAATGGGATGTTCCTGGAATGGGATTGCTTCTCATGAAAACTTACAGAATCACAGAATACTAGAACTGGAAGGGACCTCGAGAAATCAAGTCCATCCCCCTGCCCTCACAGCAGGACTGAGCAGCAACTAGATCATCCCTGATGGATGTCTATCTAAACTGCTCTTAAATATCTTCAGTGATGGAGATTCCACAACCTCCCTAGGCAATTTTTTCTGGTGTTTAACTACCCTGACAGGATGTTTTTCATAATGTCCAACCTAAACTTCCCTGGCTGCAATATAAGCCCATTGCTTCTTGTCCTATCATCAGATGCCAAGAAGAACAATTTTGTCCCTCCTCCTTGTAACACCCTTTTAGATACTTGAAAATAGTTATCATGTTCCTTCTCAGTCTTCTCTTTTCTAAACAAAACGAGCCCAATTCTTTCAGCCTTCCCACATAGCTCATGTTCTCTAGACCTTTAATAATTTTTGTTGTTCTTCTCTGGACCTTCTCCAATTTCTCCACATTTTTCTTGAAATGTGATGCCCAGAACTGGACACAATACTCCAATTGAGGCCTAATCAGCGCAGAGTAGAATGCAAGAATGATTTCTCATGTCTTGCTCAGAACACTCCTGTTAATGCATCCCAGAATCATGTTTGCTTTTTTTGGGACAGTCTCACACTGTTGACTCATATTTTGTGATCCACTATGACCCCTAGGTCCCTTTCTGCAGTACTCCTTCCTAGACAGTCGCTTCCTTTTCAGTATGTGTGAAATGGATTGTTCCTTCCTAAGTGAAGTCCTTTGCATGTGTCCTTAATAAACTTCATCCTGTTTACCTCAGACCATTTTTCTAGTTTGTCCAGATCATTTTGAATTATGACCCTATCCTCCACAGCAGTTGTAACCCCTCCCAGCTTGGTATCATCTGCAAACTTAATAAGCGTACTCTCTATGCCATCATCTAAATTGTTGGTGAAGATATTGAACAGAACCAGTTCCAAAACAGACCCCTGCAAAACCCTGCTTGCTATGCTTCTCCAGCATGATTGTGAACCATTAATAACTACTCTCTGAGAATGGTTATCTAGTCTGT